GCATATGACTAATACACAAACATAAAAATGTATTGATTAAGATCGTTCCAGTGCTGCAGCAGTTGGGGAGCCTGCCCACGTTCCCGGCACCAGCGGTGGGGCGAGAGGCGCGGCCACTCCCAGTAGCCACCCCGTCGACGCGGAGCCCACCAGCGGCCAGGCAGGTCAGGGCGAGGGGGCCAAGCCGGGCAGCTGAGCGCAGCAGGGGAGGCGGCTGGCCTCGTGCCTTTGCCACAGAGGAGAGCCGCCCTCCCACTTAAAAATGGGAGGTGAAAGGGCCTCATAAGTGGAATAGCCTAGGGTCTCTTTTCATCTAAATCCGGCACTGATTAGTACCATTGCATTATAACACCATCATCTATCATAATTACCCTTAACCTAATCCCTACTGGCTGTGATCAAATTATGAACAATACTGGTGCGACTTAGTGCATCTTAACCTAAAATGCTGATCAAAGCAAATACACCATAAAATGCAGTATCTATGTTGACATTCAGATTCAAATTTGAGATGGATTTGAAGGAACAGCAGATTAGCAACTGCACTGAATAGCCAAGACGTACTTTTGCCTTTATATTTCTTCGTAAAAAGCATTTTAACAAAATATGAATGTTATAAAAACCATATGTAGGTTGGCATCAACCCACCTATTCTCTTCTTCTATCATAGGTAAGAAGCAGCTTGTATATGGAAACCCACAGAGAAACTGGTGTGTAATCTTGGACTGAGATCGCATGGTCATTCTCCAAAAAGGAGTTGTTGAAGTTAAATTAAACTAGATTGGATCCATTCATTTTAAACTTTCCTTTAATTACAATTAAATATAGACAGTATGTTTTTGATTATTATATAGTTCTTCTTCTGATTTATTAAAAATACAATCTGACAGCAATGTTTAGTTTCAAATTGTTTTGATACTGTTCTATGTTGACAGATATGGTAATCACTCTCTGTCTGAACTGTCAACTTTCTTGTTAGAGTTTTTGGAATTAGGCCATACAGTCATCAGGAAAAATATAGCTTCTTGATCATTATATTCTCCCTTAAATGTGTTTGTTTTATTATAAGTTACTGTCACATTATCAGAAATAAATGGGTACATATTCAAATAAATGAACAGAGGAAAATATGCTAACTTATATCCATGCCACAAATACTAAACATATTTTTAAAATAAGAGGTATAAACTATTGATAATTAAAGCTTATGCACTTTACAGCCAAGGAGTAAACCACTGTAAAACAAAACTTCATCTTCACAAAATTTAAGCTGGGAGCTTGGATGAAGAGCTCCAAGAGCAGAATAATGAAAAGGTAGCAAGAACAATGTATTTCAACACATATCTTCCAAACAGCTTTAACTATTGAATCTACTTACTGGTTGGGTTGCTGTCATTCACAAAATCCTCAGAGGCATCATTGTCATCTTCATCATCTCCAGATGAAAGAACATCTGAAGTTTCAAAAAATTATTTTAAAAATCATTTATCTGCTAGATGTTGTAAGCAAACATGCATTTTTCTGCAGTCTGGATATTAAGAACAATGCATATGTGAAAGATGATTCTGAAAATTAGCAATAACACTTAGATTTATATACCGCTTCACAGGGCTTTACAGCTCTCTAAGCGGTTTACAGAGTCAGTACATTGCCCCCAATAATATGTTGGCTGAAATAATGGGATGGAAGGCTGACTCAACCTTGAGCCAATGAAAAGTCTTACTTATCATCATCATTATCATCATCATCCTTGGAAGGAT